AAAAAAAAAAAAAAAGAAAAATAATACCCCCCACAAAAGAAATATATACACACATGAGGAAAAGTCAATCCTGCCTTTTCCTGATATACAGTGGAAGCCCAAGTATTGGGCCACCTTATTTAGTTGAAATAGATCCTATTTCAATAGTTTCCAGAGGGCATGCTTGATTTCCTGGTTCCTCATGCTGTAGATGAGGGGATTCACAGCTGGAGGAATAACCGAGTACAGAACTGCCACCACAAGATCCAGGAATGAAGAGGACATGGAGGGAAGCTTCAGGTGAGCAAACATGCCAGTGCTGATAAACAGGGAGACCACGGCCAGGTGAGGGAGGCACGTGGAAAAGGCTTTGTGCTGTCCCTGCTCCGAGGGGATCCTCAGCACGGCCCTGAAGATCTCCACATAGGAGAAAAGAATGAAAAGAAAACAAACAAAAGTTAAAAAGCAACCAAATATAAGAAGGTCAACTTCCCTGAGGAATGAGTCTGAGCAGGAGAGCTTGAGGATCTGGGGAAGTTCACAGAAGAACTGGTCCAGAACATTGCCCTGGCAGAGAGATACTGAAAATGTATTGGCCGTGAGCAGGAGAGCAGTGAGAAACCCAGTGCCCCAGGCAGCTGCTGCCATGTGGACACAAGCTCTGCTGCCCAGGAGGGTCCCGTAGTGCAGGGGTTTGCAGATGGCAACGTAGTGGTCATAGGACATGATGGTGAGAAGATAAAGTTCTGCTGAGATCAAAAAGACAAGTATAAAGACCTGTGTAGCACATCCCCAGGAGGAGATGGCCCTTGTGTTCCAGAGGGAATTGGCCATGGCTTTGGGGACAGTGGTGGAGATGGAGCCCAGGTCAGTGACAGAGAGGTTGAGGAGGAAGAAGTACATGGGGGTGTGGAGGCGGTGGTCACAGGCGATGGCAGTGATGATGAGGCCGTTGCCCAGGAGGGCAGCCAGGTAGATGCCCAGGAAGAGCCAGAAGTGCACGAGCTGCAGCTCCCGTGTGTCTTCGCATGCCAGGAGGAGGAACTGGGTGATGAAACTGCTGTTGGACATGTGCTGCTTCTTGGCATGGAGGCTCTGTCCAAAGAATAAAAAAAGGAAAAATATGACAGAACTCTTTAGGGAAAAGCTCTCAATATTTCATAGAAATCTTCCCCCAAGTTGAAAGGCATTTCCTGTCTCTGGTTCGTGCTGGCTGAGTGTGGTGTGAGGAGCAGGACCTCAGCCTGTGTGATGCTGAGGAGTCAGCTTTGCTCTGCTGCAGTGGGTTCCTGAAAGCTGCTTTGTGACAGCTTCCCACTCACAAGGGATGTCAGATGGAATCCACCTTTAATGCAAAGTTCATTCTCTGCACTCAGGACTCTCCAGAGCGTGGGCTACAGAGGAGAGGCTGACCATGTCCTTATAATATTTTTTTTTTTATTTTATTTTCCACCATCATATCTGATGATAGGTCTTCTGAGGGGTAGAAATCCCCATTTAAATGTCAAGAGTGTAGAGACAGGACAAGCAAAAGGGCTCAGCTCTCTGTGGCTCAGAGCAGAACCAGGAGAGCTGCGTTTTTTCCCATCTGCCCTGCGCTCTCACTTGTGCTGCCTTGATGATGACTTCACACACAAATTGCTCTTTTAAAAAATCTAAACTGAACTGATATGGGAGAAGGGGAGCACTGTTGTAAAGGGCATATATACAAACTCTTCTCTGTGCCAGCCCCGAGATGGAGCTGTGATGGAGAGAGCAGGACACAAAGGCTCAGCCCCCCCGAGGATCCTAGGGGAGAGCGGTGCCTTTCTGGGGGCAGCTCGCAAGGCCAGCAGGAGAGGCAAAGCAGACAGGCAGGGGTCCCGAGGGTGGGACGCTGTAAAGAGAGAGTCAGCTCATTGCCCAG